GCAGTAGTAGGTGGCCGTGTCGTCGGCCTTGAGGCCGCTCATCCGCAGCATCACCGTGCTCTGGGAGTTGTCCCTGGAGATGGTGAAGCGCCCCTGGACCCCTGGCGCGTAGTAGGTGTTACCATAGCTGTTAATAAGTGCAACGAAGTCCAGGCCTTTCCCGGGCGCCTGTCACACCCACTGCATGTTGTAGCTGCCGAAAGTGAAGCCTGAGGCCTCGCAGCCGAGGGTCAGGGACCCCCCGGGGGGCTGGAGGCCACCGCCGGACTCCACCAGTGTCACGGCCGCCCGCCAGCCTGGAGGAGGAAGAAGAAAGACGCCATTGAGTCTCCCAGTTCAACCAGTTGTCCCCATCGGTGGTGCCTGGGGTTGGGGTTCAAGGGGCTGGGGCCTAAACTGGGGCCTGAAATGGTCCAGATTTGGCAGTGAAATGGTCCAGATTTGGGACCATGTGGCGCAAATCTCAACCATTTCCCCAATTTCCCCAATTTTTACCACAGATCTTAAGTGTTTGCCCCAGATCTGGACTGCCTTTGCCCCTAAACTTCACCATTTGACACAAAGACTGAACGTTTCCCCAAATTTCTGCTCATTTTGGTCACAAACCTGAACCACTTCTCTCCAACTTGGACCGTTTGTCCCCAGTCTTAACCACTTCAAGTAGTTTTTGGCCTTTTTTACCACAAATTTCACAATTTTCCCAAACTTTTTCTTGCTTTTGTCCCAAACTTTGACCATGTGGCCCAAAGCTCAAACATTTCCACACTTTTGGACCACTTTTACCACAGATCTTGACCATTTTACCCAAATCTTGACTGGTTTTGCCTCTAAACTTGACCATTGGCTGCAAACCTTGAATATTTGCCCCAAATGTCAACCATTTTGCCCCAGATCTTGATTGTTTTCCCCAAATCTTCACAGGTTTTGCCTCAAACCTTAACATTTGACCCAAACAGTGACCATTTGCCCCACATCTCAACTGTTTCTGCCTCAAACCTCGACCATTTTTACCCCAAACCCTGACCATTTACCTCAAACCTCAACCATTTTCCCCAATCTCAACCATTTTTGCCCAAAATCTGGACTGGTTCTGCCCTAAACCTCCACCTATTTAACCACCACCACCACCACAATCCAGTGGGGGAAAATGGCCGAGGTTCAGGGCAAAAACAGCCACGGTTTGGGGCCTGAAAGGGACCAAGATTTGAGGTCTCAAAGCAGTCAAGGTTTGGGCCCAAAAATCAGGTGATTTGGGGGCCTAAAAGGGTCAATGTTTGGGCCTAAAAGGACTAGGATTCAGACCTAAAAGTGGCTGAGTTTGGGGCCTAAAAGTGATTGAGGTTTGGGGCCTGAAAAGGGAATGAGGCTTCAGGCCTCAAAGGGGTCAAGGTTTGGGTCTAAATGTGAAGATCTGGTTCAAAAATGGTTGAGGTTTTGGGCAAGTATCTGAGGATTGCAGTCAATGGTCAAGATCTGGGGCAAAACCAGTCAAGATTTGGGTAAAATTGTCTAGATCTGTGGTAAAAATGAACAAAATTTAGGGAAATGAATGAGATTTTGGCCAGACGGTGAAGGTTTGAGACGAAAACGGTTGAGGGTTGGGGCAATGGTTGAGGTTTGCAGTGACCGGTCAAGTTTAGGGGCAAAACCAGTCAGGTTACGTGGAAAATGGTCAAGATCTGTGGTAAAAATGGTGAAAAATGGAGGAAATTGTTGAGATTTGGGCCACACGGTCAAGGTTTGAGACAAAACCAGTCAGGATTTGGGGACAATGACCAAGATTTGAGGCAAATGGCCCAGGAAATCATACCACCAGCAGCACCAGCATAACCACCACCAGCTTCTTTGGCGCAGTAGTAGGTGGCCGTTGCGTTGGCCTTGAGGCCGCTCATCCGCAGCGTCACCGTGCTCTGGGAGATGTCCCTGGAGATGGTGAAGCGCCCCTTGACCCCTGGTGCGTACTCGGTGTAACCACCACTACTGTTGATACCCGCGACGAACTCCAGGCCCTTCCCGGGCGCCTGGCACATCCATCCCATGCCTCTGCTGCTGAAATCGAAGCCTGAGGCCTT